CACATCATCACAGGGCCCTTCATGTCTGCAATTCTTGGGCAAGGTGAATGCCAAAGGAACCCATTGGGGACCAGCAGGATGCGCTTCCTGTGCATCCAGGGCAGACATGCCATGCAGAGGCTGGCTCCGCTCCCTGAGCACCATCATTCTGTGTTCTGCTCTATTTTATTTGTGTGATTCAGGATGGCACCGGTGTCAAGATTTGGGCTTCCCTCTTCAAGGCTAAAAGACTGCCCCAAACAATACAACCAACCCACAGGTACCTCTGCCCCTGTCCTGCCCTGGGGTCGGGAAGGGTGGTAGCCAGAGACGTCTCTTCCCAGGAAATGAGACAGACCATGCACACGGCGGAGCCCCTGGCCAGCCCTGCATGGCAGCCATGCCATCTGCTCCCTCCCCCCTCTCCCCTCTCCAGTGTTGCAATGGCCACACTATCATGGGGAAGTCCCAGTGCTGCTGGGTGCCCCCAAGCAGGCCAGGGTGCATGGATTCAGGTGGCCTTCTCCTTTTCCATGCAGAGCCCACCCGGACCCACTGCTGCCCGGGAGATTCCGACGCATGCCTTCCTGTGTGTTACAGAGAACTGAGTCTTCTTGCCTGTCTCTTGGATGGAAGCAGAGAGCCAGACCTTTCTTAGGCAGTTCTGCTGGGTCAGTAGTTGGGCGCATTAGGTTTGAGGCCCGGGAGACGTTAGTGCTCCACACTGCACTATTTAGGTAAGCTATATGCAGAGCATGAACCCTCGTGGCACAGCTGCTTAAGCACTCGACTGCTAACTGAAAAGTCAGCAGTTCAAACCCAGCAGTCACTTTGAGGGACAAAGTCGAGGCTGTCTGCTCCAATAAACAGTCTAGGAAAGCCTATGGACCAGTTCCCGGGGTGGCTATGCGTCAGAATGGACCGGAAGAGCGTGCACTTGGTATACAAAGCAGGTGTCCCTCACTGCCCACAGGGACTCAAATGCTGATTCTAAGGACTGATTTCACCTTGGGTTGAGAGGCCGATCCCTGGTTCAGAGAGAATACACAAAAATGGGCCTGCCGTAAACCCTTCCTTCTCCTCAAAGATGACAGGAAAACGGAGTGCGGAAAGACCTAGAAGAGTGATCGAGGAGGAGCGCACCTGTGTGTCATCTCCACATTTGACTCCTGCCAGGAGGCCGAACACTAGCCCCGGGGCTGTGGGGCCCTTGGCTCTGCTTCCGGTCCCAGGGAGAGTCCCACAGTGGGTCAGCCCCAGAGGTGGGCGTTGGAAGCAAAATCATGCCCACCTGTGCAGAGATGACAATCTCCCAGGGCGCAAATTCCTTAATGAAAGACAAGGAATTAGTGAGAGCCAGGGACCCTGAAGGAACATGACTGTCGGTCTCCTGGGAGGCGGCGTGAGCTGATCCGCAAGCACTGCCAGGGGAACCAGATTTGCCTCCATGGGCACCCCTGGCTGTGCTCAGTGCCCATCTCTGCCGGGGCTGGCAGGGCCTTAGGGGCCATTTGAAGACCAGCTGGGGACTGTACACAAGCAGGCACACTGCTGCTTCCCTGGAGGTGGGTGGGAAGCCCGTCTGGCAGGCCCTACACAATCTATTCAAAGGCCTGCCGTGTCCACGCGTCCGGGGAACAGACGGCAGCACTGCACACTGGCTCGTTACGTCCTGCTCAGGTGGACTTTGGAAAGGGAGGGCTTATCCTCAGTCAGGGATAGCAGGGCCTGCGGAGCGGGTTCCCCCAAACTAGAACAGGAGCGAGGGTCTCCCTCTGCTGGGCCCACCCCCCTAGCCCGCCTCGATGGTGACCATTGCAAAGGTGGAAACAAGCTGGAGAGAAGGAGTTTGGGGCTGCGGTGACCTTTCCATGACCATCCCAGCGAGCTCTGCTCCTGAACCACTGAGGTCACAGCCAAGGTGATTCCCTAAGGGGGAGGGGGAGGAGGGGAGGGCCGGGGGGTGGGGGTGGGGAGGGGGGTACAAAACTTGACAACAACTGCACATAAAACATACAGCTCGGTGCTAGTGAAGGGTTATTATTTACAGGCGTGTTAGCCAGCAACACGAAGTCATTCATCAAAACTCCGACGAGGCATACATGGTATATTCCAAAATCCCACCGGGCCGGGGAACATTCAAGCAAATCATTGGAAGCATTTAACACTGAACACAAATAAAAAGTGTCATAGAAAATATTTTATTTGCAATCTAGGTGTGAAAAGACCCTGGCACTGGAGTCACAGGCACCCACACCCTTCCTTCCCTGTGCAGGGGTCTTGATTCTTTTTTGTCACACTGCGGATTTCGCTGCATTTGATGAAAGCCTGACTTAGTGGGGGGTTGAGGATACCTTTCCCATCTGCACCACAGCCTGTGGGAGAAGGCCCTCTTTCCTTCTTGGGGTAAAGGATGACGGAGTGAAGATTTAAGGCTGATCTACGGAGCCGATGACCATAGGATAATACTATGAAACCACTGGGGAAACAAGCCTGCATGGGTGCGTGCATGCATGTGTGTGTGCGCGCACAGGCACAGACATGCACGCCCGCCCATCTCCACACTGTGCTATTCCCAGGCGGCCTGCAGCAGGGAGCTTTGACAAGGCCAGGGCAGAAGAAGGCACTGCCCCACTGAGACAAGGAGTGAGACCAGACCCGCATGGACCCCTTGGGGGACCCTGGGTGCTCCCAGTCATTGCAGGGGTGAGGAGCAATGGCCTCTCTCCCATCTCAGCCACCTCAGCAAGTCTGGAACAGAGAATCAAACTAACAGCATCTCAACCCATAATGCACCTTCTTTCTCACAAAGTGACTTCAGGCCCATCTGTACAATTACGAATAGGAGGCAGTGTGGTAGGGAATACCAGAGGGATTCTAGGGGTTAGACGTGGATTCAAATTCCACTCCTCCCCTTTCCCAGCTCTGGGATCCTGGGTGCATTCCTGAGCCTTTCCCAGCCTCAGTGTTCCCATCTGAAAGGGCATGAGTGGGTATTTTCCTTTGAGAGTTGACCAATGACCTACAGAGAACACATCATGTCAGAGGGGCACTCTCTGACTTCACCCCCAGCACAGCTCCTCACACTCAGTATGTGATTGCCGATCGTGAACCAGTCATCTGGTCTCCTCCCAGTCCACACTAGAGGGTGCTGGGAGGGCAGGCCCACGTCCACATTTCCACCCTATTGAACCCCTAATACCCGGACCCTCCCCAACACGTGGAAATGGGTTGGTCCCTTTTTGCTGCCTGAGTAAATTGACTATGGAATTCCTAAGGCATTCTGCTAATCCCTGGGCACTTAACAAGGAACTGTGCTCTACAAATAGGTGCTCTCCGCTTTATACTTCCACTGAAATGGCCCAAGGTAGATTTTGCCCCATGGACACACAGCCTGCTGAGCCCCTGGGGCTGTCTGTCTCAGGTGTGGGAACTGGCCTTCCTGCATATCTCTTGAACTTTAAATCCCATCTCCTGGTCTGAAGACCTGTCTCTAAGACCAGGACATCAGATCTTAGCATCAGCTAGGGCAAAGGACTTCCTGGTTACTTCTCTTTTCCCTCCTTCTCAGGAGTTTCCACTGCGTCGATGCAGGGACTTTGGGAAGAATGCAAGTCCCTAGTTGATAATGAGCATGCCTGGAAGGAGGAGAGACACAGGCTACTTCCCTGTGGATGAAGACTAAAGCAGGGCTCCTCAAACTACGGCCCGCGGCCCACATGCGGCCTGCCGAGGACATTTATCCGGCCCGCTGGGTGTTTTTGCCCTGTTTGTTATTTTTACTTCAAAATAAGATATGTGCAGTGTGCATAGGAATTTCTTCATAGTTTTTTTAAAAACTATAGTCCGGCCCTCCAATGGGTCTGAGGGACAGTGAACTGGCCTCCTGTTTAAAAAGTTTGAGGGCCCCTGCTCTAAAGGCTTAGCTCGCCAGGTTGCCTGGGTGATCAGAAGCTTTCATAGAGCAGTGTTGGGGTCCACTGCTGCTCCATCCATCTCCTGAAGAGTTCCACTTCAAAGTGATGCTCTTTGGACTTTAAAAACAAATCTTATTGCTACTAACAATTAAGGAGGCTGTATAGCTTTTATGCAAGGTTAAATCCTTCCTAAGAAATGAAGAAACTCAACCAGAGATAAAAGGCATATCTGGGTCCTTACCTCGAGAATTAAACATGATTTATAACTGGAAAGTTTGTGTGGGTTTAAACTCCAACATATGAAAGAGACTATATCATCAGGTTTAGAGGGGGAAAAAAATTAAATACTTGGAATGCTAGGCCATTATAAAATAAGGTGCTTTATGTATCTAGCTTGTAACAGAGAGCAGAGGGTACATATCTGGAAATCAAATTGAGACGGGGGATGGGGGGGGGTTCTTCATTTCAATAAAGAATGGAAGAGTTTATAATGCGATTGCTCCAACAGGCTCTTGCTAGTGCTTAGAGAGGGATACAAGTAGCCTTCCAGGCTAGTGGCCCAAGCTCACAATCGTGGTTTGGGAACCTCAAGTCTACAGGGGCATTATAAGCGTGAGTCCCCTGTGCGGGTGACCTTCAGAAGATAGTACTCTAATGAACATCCTTGACAAATAACCCTGCAAACTGTGCATGTGCCCTTCCCTTGCAGCAGCTAAAAACCCTTACACCCCCCAAGACCTATGCCTGGAGAGGACTCCAAGTGGTTCCTTATCAACAAACGGCTTCGATTGCTTTACTGAGAAAAATTAAAATGCAGGGAGCATGAGAGCGTCGGGGAATCGAACCTTTGGGAGGGCTTCAATGCTTTGGGAAACCAGATCTGGAACCTCAAGGACTCTCCAATACTGTGGTTACAATGAGTGAGATGACGTGGTCACTGGGGCAGAAATGGGTCACCCGACACAGCACACCTAACATGCATGTCCTCATCAGGGCTGGGGCAGACCACACCAATCTACAATGTGGAAGACTTATCTGGAGGGTTAGGGCTCTGTACACATTGGTATCACCCAAGAAACATCTGAGGGTGATCAATTTTTCCTCTTTTCAATTCTCTATTCCACCTAGCTCTTTGTTCTTGAGTCCCCTCTATATATGATGTCTTCTAGGCAAATTTATCTAGAAAATGGATGAAAAACATCAATATATAACCTTTCAACAACTTAATTTTATACATATATAAAATATATATATGGCTATTAGCTTTATATATATATATGAAAGCTATTAACTCTGGTTAGACATTTTTGGAATACAATGTTGTGTTTAATATTTATTTTCATATATGTCATGGAGTTTACTCAAAAAGAACTAGGGGTCAAAAAGAAATCTCTTTGCGTTTACAGAGCAAATCATCGTGTGAACAATGTAGACCTTCCCTGGACCCTTCTCACGCTCTTAAAGAAAGAAATCAGAGCTTCAGAAAGTCAATGGAAGCATCTCAGCTTCTCCTAGAGCTGAGATGGCCTGGCCAACGATCTAGTGCTATTATTTACAGAGGAGGAGACCGAGGCTCAGGGAGGCCAGTTACTTTGCTCATGAAAATGGGAATCTTCCATTAGAAGACCCTGGTCCCAGAATACCGACCTTCTGGAAGGGGGACAGACCTGCATTGTCTTCCAGATGGTCTTCTTTGGCTACTATCAGCTCCTGCCCTTGCAATGAGGCAGCCAGTGGACTGTGAGCAGCCCTGCTATGGATTATAAAGGTCCTCTAAGGGGTGTTCAGCCTGCTTGCTCTAGAGGGTTTTAGTTAGTAACAGTGTCACTGGAATTTTAGGGGTTTTCATTTAAGAATATGCAGGGTTTACACAAGTCCCAACCATGGGGTGGTGCCTCTTTGATTCCGTAGCTGAAATGCAACAAAGCCCAGGCCCAAGAGGTGCAGTGGCTCACAATTCTCCAAGCAGCACATGCCTTCCCCGAGGTCTTGGGTCAGCACCTTGGCCTCTAGGAGAGTTCTTGTCTTTCCCCACCTGTGCCTGCACGCCTATCCTGAAGCTCAGACACCCACAATGTCCCCAAGCCCAACCTTCAGTGGAGGTAGTCGATATGATATGTGAACACACACACACACACACACATTTTTTAAATGAAAGTTGATCTGGGAAAAACATTAGGCAAAATTAAGGTGCTCAGACATTTAGAAAGGAAAAAAAATATTTATACATATATTTTGCATAACATAAGAAATATAAGGAAAAGAAAAGATTTTGAAAGAGTTGGCCAATTTCATGCTAACTCCCCCCACCCCCCATGTTCTACACATCATCCTTGCCTCCAGTTTCAAAATCTTCACTCGACCTGTAATGAGCATTTCACTCTTTGCCCCAAGTTCTCTCTGTCAGCGAGACCAGCTCAGTGATTGAGGCCGACCCATTGGGTCTCTACAAGGCAGGTTATCAATCCTGCACGGTTTCTTGAGTGAGTCCTTAAAAAGATAGGATTTCTTAAAAGGCATGACATTTACCGGCGTTTGGCTTGGTGAGCTGCTTCTCTCTGGAAAGAGACAAACCTTTGAAAGACGACAGCTATGAAAAGACAACAGTCGTAGAACGGAGTCACTCCACGCTTCCACGTTCTTTCCAGACATCCGGGGAGGCCATGCCACCTGCAGCCCAGGGGGTGCCTGCCAATCCCTTGCCCAGAATGGAAGGTGTCCGGTCCAGCGCAGAAGGATGCATATTTACCAAGGAACCTTCTTGTCCCATGTTGTTTTGCAGTTTTAAATGCCACCCCAGTGGTGGCATTTTAAACTCTGCACGTTCAAATAACATAAACACAAGAAAAACCAACTTGTGTCTTCTTCCTAGGTAAAGTTAGAAAGCGTAATGGAGAGAAGACCCAGCCCCAGCGGGTGGAGAAGTTGAGCACTTAGACCCCCAACAAACCACGAGCGCTTTCCAGGGGCAGGGTCCCCATGGTCCCCACAGGGGGGGCCACAGGCCTGCCGCCACAGTCCTGGACGTGCCCTTGGCTGCCATGCCTCATTTCCTCTCGACTGGCAGCTGAGCAGTTTACCTCTCCGCCCGGATTTTGTACCTCAGGACGAAGTAGGCAATGAGGCGCAGGGAGATGAAGAAAATCCCCAGGACAATGAAGTCCAGGTACAGTTTGGCGTTTTCCACATCGAGCTCTTTCAGGATGGCCTCCGACTTCTGAAAGTGGCAGGTGTCGGCGATGTCGCAGTGCAGGTCTTCCCGGTCGAGGCCGTAGATGGACAGGATGACGCCTTCGAACCCGTACCTGTGATGGAAAGCACGTGCATGAAGCAGCCTCGGCTGCCGCCAAGCTCACAGGACCGGGGCCGCCGCCACTTGCTGAAGGAGGCTACTCTCTGCGGGGCTCAGCCTGGCTTTCCTCCTCCCCATCGGGCATTCTCCAAATCAGTTCAAACCTTTCAACAGCTTCTTAAGGGTAACTTTTTTCTCCTAGTGTTTCCGACAGCACCTCTGCGGTCGCTATATCATCTCATGTCAAGTTGAAGTGTAGGGGTGGGGTCTAGCCTGTCAATCAGGTCACAGCCTGATGGTGCCTCCCTGTGGGCGTGACCTCCTCATAAGAAGGATCATGGGAACACCCCGCCCCCTCTGCTCACCTTCCTGCTGGGGAGACACTTGGAGACCCACCAGAGCCCTGGGATGAACTGTGCCATTGGATCCACGGGACTTTGGACCCACCAGCCTATGATCTCCCTGCATTCTGCATCATCGCATGTGGCTGCGTGAGTCTGAAGAGGGACTGATGGACTAGCATCAGGCTTAAGGACTTACTGGGCTGGGATGTCTGCTTGATGTACAGTCACGTCTTGATATAAAGCTCTCTTGCACATATAGGAATGTCGCTGGATTTGTTTCTCTAGTCAACCTGGCCTAACACAGCCTCCAACCACCATCACCACCACCAGCACCAACATCATCACCAAAAACCAACTCAAATGAAGAACAGGCATTCACTGAGTGGTGAGATAAACAGGAAAATGCATCTCTTGCTTCTGATCTTATGCAATTTCCACAATTAGACAGCACAATGGCTCTGGTATCTCTCCAAGGACTCTGGAGCATTTAAATCCAACATTCGGCCCCCAGAGCATTCTGGGCCAGCCCTACATGGCGAGAACAAATTGATTTTGTTCAAAATACACTGATTTTGAGAAGAAAGCGGCTAGTTTCCGATGTCCTGGTGTTGGAGAGCATACAGGCGGCTGAAACTCTGTACAGGGGCTTTGTTTGGCTGGGGTACTTCTGAACAATATGCCTGGGTTTGGAGTGACATTCTAGAAGAGAAGAGCTTGTTCCCAACTTAAGATCTCTGGTGTCATGTGGAATCACAACCGCCGGGGAGGAAGGCTCTGAGGCAGGCATGGCCGTTTGAAGGGCCAACGTGCCAAAGACCGATGGAACCTGATAACTTAAATGACTCTTCTTGTTCAAAGACATTAGGGTGTTCAAAGCATGGCTGACTATTCACCCCCCGGATTTGTGATTACAGCTTACAAATAAGCTGTAAGCATTGTTCCTTTCAGTGAGGAACATGGGACTTCCCCAGAGGGGTGTGTTTCTGCAAGGCAAGTCACTCCCTTCCTAAGACCAACTAAACTCTAAACTACTAATCATCGAGTTGATTCCAACTCACAGCGACCCCATTAGACAGAATAGAACTTCCCCTGCGGGTTTCCGAAGCTATAAATCTTTATGGGAACAGAAAGCCTGTTTCCTCCTGGGGAGCAGCTAGTGGCTTTGAACGGCTGACCTAGCGGCCAACAACCCACACTGCCAGGATCTGGGGATCCCCCGTGGCTTCCTCAGGCGATGAACTGCTAGGGTTTGTCTATCCCTGCCTTGTTAGGTGTGTGTTCAGGAGAGTGCAGGCACACACAAGGGCAAACATCAATATAATCAATACCCTTGGGTCTGTGGCTGATGAAGTGGTTTTTGTGAACAACTAGGGGTTAGTCCCAGGTCTTTCCTTCACCCTAGAGAGATGAAGCGCACCCCCCACCCCCACCCCCACCCTGCTGGCCACGCCACACTACCTGACGTAGGAAATGTACGACATCCACTGCAGGTACGTGGGGATGGTGTCGAAGCTGACGAAGAATCCCGAGAAGAGAAGGACCGGGATGGCAGTCACAGGGCCCACGAAGGTGGCCACCTGGGGGCGGAATGGGCACACGGGAGGTCTTGCTGTGATGGGAAAGCAGGAAGTCGGCCACGCCATCCTCAGGTGGGCCCTGGAGGCTATTTTTTTTCCACAGCTGGCCACCAGATGGACAGAAGGGCCCCCTCATGGATGAGAGTCCTAAGGGTGGGTCCATTGAGAACCAAGAAGGTGGCTGAAAAGCATCTTGTTCCCCCTGGTGAGAAGCAGGAGGGGTGGCCACACACCAGGCAAGGATCTGATTGTGATGGCTGCGTGGGTCTGAGGAGGGTATCCGGCTGCAGAAGCAAAAGCAAGCCTACAGCGACGCGCAGGAGCAGGGCCTCCTCTGGGAATGGTAATGAGACGTGCTTAACGAAGCGCAGGGGACCCAGTCTCCCTGAGGCGCTGACAATTAGGTGGCGTCACTGTATTGGAAGGGCTTGCCACCTGGAAGCAGAGGCCCAGCTGTCTGTCCTGCTGTGACACCTGCCCACAGGTCCTCAGCGAGCCTCCCTCAGAGCCTAGGGGAATGGGGGGGGGGGGCCTTGGATGCTGCTCACAAGCCAGGCTGACAGTCACTCCCATGGGAGACCTACCAGGATGGACACGACTCAAAGGGGACCTGCTCAGGGCCGGCCTCACGTTTTGAAGAATAGGAGTGGGCACAAAGTAGACACTCAGCAGGACTTACCAGTGGTGTAAGCTGGCTTTAGCATGCAGCAGCGGGGCCCTCCTGTGTGTCACCACCTGTATGGCAGGTGGGCCACGCAGGGTGAAGGCCCACCACTGCTGTCACAGCGATTCAGGCCGTTAGGGTGGGAAGAACATCGAGTGAGCGGTCCTGGGTGTGTGTGTGTGTGTGTGTGTGTGTGTGTGTGTGTGTGAGTGATTGGGTATGCAGGGCTGTGCATGTGCACTTTGTGAGAGAGTAGGGGAGTGTGTCAGGTGTGCAGACTTGCCAACAGGGACGTCACAGATGACACTAGGAGTGGGTGTGACACCCCAAAGGCAGGCTGACCAGCCTCCCAAGGGCCCGTGGGACAGACTCTTTGGAAGACGGCACTGAGCAGGGGAGGCGTGGCTGAATCTTATCGGGTGGGTGGTGGCCCTCCTGGTGGCCCCGGGCATGCCAGCCTGACAGACAGAGAAAAAAGCCTGTCGATGTGAGCTGTCCTGCGGGTGGGCATTGCTGAGTGTGTCTGGGAGTAGAACATGGGGCCGAGTGGGCCAGGCAAGCGCATAGTGTGTCTGATACTCTGCGCTTACTGCGGGCACTGAGTCCTGGGGTTTGTGGGATGTAGAGCAGGTGGCTGTGTGGCACAGTGGTTGGGAAATCTGGTGAAAAACGCCTGCAGCCTGGGCCACAAACACTTGTGAGATGCCGGCACTGTGCCAGCCACTGGACTAGACCTGGCAGACTGAGTGCCACAGAGAAGGGGCCTGCCCCTAAGACTGACACCAGAAGCTTTCAACCACAAGGAAAGTTCTAGGCAGGGATGCTGGCAGGCAGACACTCCTAGTCTGCTTGTTCTTTAAAAGCCACGTGGTATCTGAGGCCCTCCTCTTGGCAAGACGTTAGGAGACTCTGCCCGGGAGTTGCCGGCCAGCGTGTGGGAGGGATGCAGGGGAGTTATGGAAAGAGGGGTACAAGGATCATTTCCGGGGTGCAGACTGTGGGTTCTCACAGTCAGTTCAGTTCTCACAGCAACGCAATACCCCGAAACAGACCTGCCATGGGCTAATTGATGCCAATAGATAGGACCCCAAGAGTTGCAGGGTAGACGGTTCCACGGGTTCCTCGGTGAGAATCTCTAGGGGAGATTGCCAGGCCTCTTTCCCAAGCTGCTGCTGGGCCAGTTTGAATTGCCAACCTTGGGTCGGGGGCCTCGCAACCCTGTGAGGTCAGATCCCTGCCCTTCCCATTTCTGGCTGGGGCCTGCAGGGAGGCCCTGGAGGCTCATCCCTGGTGAGCGGGGTGGGGGGTCGAGGGCTCAGGAGTCCTCTTTTACCAGTATTCTGGCTTTAGTTTTCAAAGGACAGGGCAGGTCTGAGTAGGGGAAGGTGGAAGGAGCAGAGGTGGAAACTGGAAAGCCCACATGGGTTGAGATGTTCACGGGCAAGATTGGCCTTGGAGGCAAGAAGGAGGGAGGGAGCAATGAGACCCATGCAGATGTGGTGGGGGTGGGGGGTGGGGGTATGAGGGATGACCCAGGATGGCTGAGCGACGCACACAAGCATGTGACCCCAACCAAATTGCCTCTGCTCACTGGGCCAGTCTCCCCTCTGGACCGGGCAGTCCAGCCCTGAACTCCCAGGGTGTGGTTAGGTGTGGGTGCTGAGACGGGGAAACAACCTCCTGCAGTGAAGCGTCATGTAAGGGAGTCCTGGAGGCCCCGACAGGTGGGGGGTCTGGCCCGACCAGTGGGTCTGTGGGAGGAAGGCCAGGTGACCTGCTTCAGTCAGGATTGCAGCCAGGAAATCCGTAGGGAGCAGTTCTTTTCAGGGATTCAGGGGCCACCGTGCACTGGGATCCACTGAGAGAAACTAGCTCAGTTTGGTTTGGGCAGGGAGTCCTGGCCAGCCCCGACGGTCAAGGCATGGTGCACGCTGTTAATCGAAAGGTTGGAGTTTCAAGTCCACCTAAGGTAGCTGAGATGAAAGGTCTGGCACTCCACTTCTGAAAAGCCAGTCGCTGAACACCCTTGGGAGCTCTGCACTGCTCTGCACCCCATGAAGCTGAGTGCAGGGCCATCACTCACTGCACACTGCAGACTGAGACTGTCCCCAACCACGGATTGCTCCCCATGGGGACAGCGGAGAAGCGCCAGGCTCGGGAGTGCAAGGCAAAGTGGAGGGAAGGGTCCCAGGGTCCTGGGGAGAAGGGCCTGGCCCGCTGTGCCCCTCGGCCAGTACCTGCAGGGATGTGGAGGCAGCCCCAATGAGCAGGCCCAGGGACTGGGCCACGAGTGACGTCATGGTGCCCAGAGCGGCGAACAGGACGAAGCGCACCGCGTCGCATGGCTGCGAGGTCATCCAGTACACGATGCTGCAGTAGGCCACTGGGAACATGATCTGGGGACAGAGAGCACACGGGGGTCACTGCAGCACTTGGTCTGGCCTCGGCAGGCAGGGCGCTGCTGCACCCCCAGCCCTCGGTTCCTGGTAAGGCCCTCCTTGTTGTGCCTTTGCGCCTGGCAGACTCTTCATGGAGTTCCCCCTCCCTGCAGCCCCCACTATACTCCGGGGTACAAATGAAGAACCTGCAGCCTGTGTTGTAGTACCCCACAACCACTATGTAGTAGGTAACATAGATGTAGTCATTTTAACAATGTAACCAAGCTGCATTAACTACTGAGCCTGAGGGTGGTCATTTTGTACTGAGCCAAGGGTGGCCACCGTGTAATTACTATACAGTGAACCCTCGCCACTTCGCGCTTTGACTTCCGCGGCTTCACTCTATCACGGTTTTTGCGTAACAGCGCATGCTCTGTCATTACTGCCACTGATTGGCTCATACTGTACACGCTTCTGTCTGCATCGCTACGTATCGGAGCTACGTATCAGATGCATTTTTGCTTTTGTACAGTGTACTGTAATTGTTTGCGATTTTTAAAAATTTTATCTAAGCCCTATGATGGCTCCTAAACGAGCTGCTTCTTCTAAGCCTTCTGACAATAAAAATAAGTGCCAGAGGAAGATGCTCACCATCCAGGAAAAGGTAAAACTTTTGGATATAAGGAATCTTACTTCACGGAATTTCATTTATCATGGTAGGGTCTAGAACCGATTAACCGCGATAAACGAGGGTTCATTGTAATTCCTTTTGTAACTTCTGTAACTGCTGACCTTTTGCTTGATTTTTGAAATTGCTGATGTTGCTTGTTACCCCCCATTGCATTTTTATAAGGTCCTATATTTTCCAGATAGCATGGCGCCATCTGCCCCTGTGCCTTGTTTGTTCCACAGTATAAAAACTCCCCTCTTTAAGCACTTGGGGTCAATGGAGAATGAGGCTCTAGCTGCCCTTTGACTACCGGCTAATAAAGGTTTGTGAACTTTCCTTAAAGCTGTGTGTGGGTTCATCGATCTCACTCCGGTACTAGTGTCCGGTGACACCCTCCTTCACTACATACCTGGAAGGGGACGTCAGCCATAGTCTTGGCCAGGTAGTAGGCCTTCAGGCTGTACCAGTAATTCAGGTGTTCCCGAAGAAATACACTCATCTCAAGAGGAACTGGGAAGAAGAGAAGAAAATGGGATCAAGAAGATAGGCCTGGCATATCAAACCCTAAAGTAGGATATCTCGTGCCACCCTGCTCCTAACCCCATCCTGCGCCGTATGACCACATGGGCCTTACAATGCTTGAACAAGATGATATGAAACGGTCTACCAGCCTGGGAAGGGGCTGGATAGAATGGTGGCTAAGTCCTCAGCGGCTAACTGAAAGGTTGGAAGCTGGAACCCATTAGTCATTTGTAGGAGACAAGGCCTGGCAGTCAGCTTCCAGCAGGATTACAGCCTGGGCAACCTGACAGCACGGTTCTACTCCGCCGGACAGGGTGTCCGCGAACTGGAATTGGCTCACCAGCACGCAGCAGCAGCTCCAACCTGGCAGTCTGCCGACTTTTAAAGCCTGAGAGTCATGGATGGGGGAGTCCTGGGGTGAAGAAGATCTATGAGGATGCCAAGCACCTTTCTAGTTATTCACTCAGCTGCTGACTGCTGACCTGATTCGGAGTCAGCTTGCCTGGATAAGAAGGCTTATCATGGGTAAGACCTTCGAGGCTGGTCTTGGGCGTCCAGGGATTCCAGGCAGGGCAGGGAGGAGGTGTTTCTGCTGGGGCTCTGCTGAAGCAGCAACTTTCTGTGCTATCAGCGCCACATGACCAAGGGATGCCTACTTTGCCAGCAAGTCAGAATGACGTGGACATTCGTCCATAGGAGCTTTACCTAATCACAAGGCTCCTCACATAAGGGCTGTGTCAGTAACTCAACTCTAGTCGTGGTTGTTGCTGGTTTCTATTGGTCAGATCAGCAACCCAGGGATAATGGAATGAAATGCTGCCCAGGCTTGGGCCATCCAAGTAATGGGTTAGGGGCTCTCGTTGGCTGGCACTCAGAGGTAGAATGCCAGGCCTTTCTTCCTAGTCCATTAGAGTCTGGAAGTTCTGCTGAAACTTGTTCAGCATCATAGCAATATAGCACCTCAGGAGCGGTAGTGGTCCAAGAGGCATACTGGCTGGGAACAGTCAACCTGGGTCTCCTGTTTGGGAGGTGACAAGCCTGCAACTTGAACCACTACTGAACCATAACCGAACTCAAATGTCAAAACCAAATTCCAGCTCACAGCAAGCCTGCAGGACAGAGTAGAACTGCTGCCTGGGCTTCTCAGGCTGTGACTCTGTACATGAGCAGTAAGCTTCATCCTTCTCCTGGGAGCATCGGTGGGCTTTTACTGCTGACCTGTGGCTAACAGCCCAACATGGAAACTACTCTGTCGCCAGAGCTCCTGATAACTGAATTAGAGGGTGCACAAGGAGGGGGGTTGGAGGGTCTCCTGATTAGTACACTTTCAGAAATATCTCCTCTGTGGCCTTTCTGACCATGCCTCTAAGCCTTCCATTAGCAATTCATTCCTTTGGCTTCAACAGGCCTATTCTTGTCTGATAGAAAAGACAGCCACCCCTCCATCTGTTCCCCCATAAAAGATGGGCTTTCGGAAAAGCCCCCCCCCCCCCCAACCATGAGCTCAGTCTCCTGTACGTGGGCAGGGAGCCCGGCCGTGCAGAGGAGGGAGGGTCTGACGGCTGCTTACATGTGAGCACGGTGGGCATGAGGGCCGCAAACATGAGGAAGAGCATGGAGAAGAAGAGGAAGCCGGAGTTGCTGAGCACTTTCTTGGCCTCGTTCCCGATCCCCAAGTAGAGCAGGCCGATAAGGAGGCCGATGCCGATGTGCGAGGTGATCCGCAGGTGTGTCAGGACCTGGGGACAGAAACAGTCTGCACTCAGGGCACGTGGAAGCCGAGGCCGGGAGGGAGACCCACCGCAGCAGCGAGGCCAGGGCCTTCAGAGGCTCGGCCCATGAGTTCCGGACAGCAGCCCTGAGGCTTCCTCCGGGCCTCTCCTCCCAAACCCTCAGCCAGTTCAAACACATGCACGGGCACACACACAAGACGAGACTGTGTTGCTGTTCAAACAGAAGTAGCTGGCTGCAACCTTTTGGCGAAATCCCTTTCAAAAAGGACAAACCTACAAGGGTAAATGACCTGCGGGGGAGAGGTTAATATACTGTCCACCCCACTCCCGTAGGGTGTGAGTGGCCACAGGACTTGTTCTGGCCAGGGAAGCGTGAGCACGTGGACACTTGGTCAGGGACGTGGCTTTGCGCCTGTGCTGTCCCTTTGCCATAGGAAAGGCATACTGTAGACGGGAGGCATTCCTTTCTTCTGGGCCCCAGCAAGACAAGACACAGGAGCAGAGCCACAAACCCCCTTCCCCCACCTCCCCCCACCCCCCGCCACACACACAGACCCCGACAGGTAACACGAGCAAAGCAGAACCACGGACAGTGGCTGACACAGACGTGGCTAGGAGTGCTTGTTACGGCAGCAAAACAGAGTGAAAACTGACCAGTACAGATGGAGGGACAACAAGGACAGGATGAATGTCGCTCCAAGCCCCCTTACCGAGTCCCTCATGATGCTGAGGAACGTCCTTTTGAAGAGGATGCAGAACTGGGTGAGACAGCTCGCCGAGAAGCTGTGGCAGCCTTCCATGGAAGTGGAATCCTAAGGGCATATCCAAGGAGGGAGCGGAGGTGAAGCTCCAGCTCTGGGGTCCCTCTGCATCCTTGCTAAGGGGGTGCTTCATGCAGCTAGGTGCAAAATGCAGCATGCAGCTCTCCCCAGGAGGGTAAGGGACTTGCATTACCTTTCTCAACCCCTTTAATCGTTTTGCCTGCTTTACCTCTTCGGAGGGCCGGTGCCAAAGAAAGGGGTTCACCTCGGCATCGCCCCCGAGGTCTCTCTTGTAGTCCGAGTCGCACATGCCCTCGCGAACGGCTCTCACCAGGCGGCTGTTCTGATCGCCATACTCGCCAGAAGCCACCTCCATGACTGCACAGAACACAGACGCGGCGGCGGGGTCAGCACCCGAGGCCACAACGCAGCCCTGTGTGTCTTTTCCATTTCACAAGGAAGCACGCGTCCCCCAGCCATGGAGACAGCCCTGGCTCACCATGCCCACCCCCCACCCCCGGCATTGTGCCTGCAGAGCACGGTGTCCCCCATAGTGCGTTTGGGTGGGACTGGGTTTGGAAAGTAGATCACCCGCCCTCTCTTCTGCGGTGCCTCTGGGTGGACTCGAACGGCCAACCTGGTGGTTAGCCACCGGGGTCGGCTACGAGAAAAGCTAGGGCACAGCCGCAAAGGAAAGAAATGCTCTAGAATCACTTAGAACGATTATGCAGATGCCGCGTCATGAGGCTAACGGTGCTGGAGCCACGTTTCAACGCCGTGTTAGACTCTACAACCCAAAGCGAGGCCAGTGACCGGTTTGGAAAGTGGTGAACAAAAGAGGTGCAAATCTGCAGAGTCGGGGAACCTGCAGTGTCAGCTGCTCGCCCATCCAACAGTGACCCTATCATGGCAGCGTGGGAGGGTGGGGAGAAGCACAGCAGAACCACCAGCAGTCCTGAGACCAGAGCTCGCAGCTTCATGGGCCTGGGAGATGCGACCAGGGACAAGGCTCCTGGCCACCTAGGGGCTCTGAAGCCATTGATCTCCACAGTGTCCCCTCCTCCTCTCTCACAACTGGCCCCCACAGTCTCCTTCACCCCCAACATCACCCGGCTTACTCTCAGAGTCACTGGCTCTTCTGGTGATGTCATGTGCTCTGGCTTGTTCAGCCCGAGGATGATGACCCTTCCTGTCCCCGACAGTGGACGTCCTCCATCTCGCTGGCCCTCTTCACGAGGCGTCTCTCAGTCGGCGACATTCCCTGCTCCCCTCCAGGCTCCCCCGGGTCCTATATACTCCCCTCCAGGCTCCCCTGGGTCCTATCTTTTGGTCACATCTTTGCAGCAAAACCAGATCTCTGCTGTCCCAGGGCCTGAACCGGAGCAGCCAAGCCCCAGGAGTCAACACTCCGGGCCACCTCTGGGCATGGCGCTGACGCTCACACATCGCTGCTTCCGCAGCCTTCATTTCCTGTCCTCCCCAAGGATGCCGGACTCCTGTCCAGCAGAGGAGATCTTAGCCCCCAACAGGAACACCGCCCTGTCTCTGAGGGCGGTATTTCTTTTCCTTCCTGTCCATCCTCCCTCTAAGGCGCTCACCTCCTTGCAGGCTTAGGGTCCTTGTCCTGCCCAGCAGGGCCATGTCACCGAATGTCCCCTCTGCTCTCTCGGAACAATGTGCCACTATCAAGGTGACCCTTCCCACAGGGTTTTCCACGCACTCAAGTCTTCTCCTTATGCAAAGCTCTCCCATGCCCTCACCTCCTCTCGAGGACTGCCTTCTCCCTCCGCCCTTCTCCCCGCAAACCTGCTACTCGGCAGTGGGGAGCATCTCCCAGACCCCTGCCTTGCGTGGCACCATTTGAGAAGTTCGTAGACAGCCGGGAGTCCCAGAGGTGGCACGTGCAGATGTTTTTCAGGGAAATAACACAACAGAAGGAAGCGCTGCCCAGTCCCGAGGCACCCTCACATGCGTCCCCACGCCCGAGCCCCTAGTTGCAGCCACTGTGTCGATCCATCTCGCAGAGGGCCTTCCTCATTCTCGCTGCCCCTCCACTGACCAATCACGGGGTCCAGGGGGCCAACCCTGAGCCCAGGAGCACAGAGGGAGCCACAGCAGCTGTGATGGGGGAGGGTGCGGGGGCAAGGAGTGTGGTTCTGGAGACACTGGATTTGAAGTGCCTGGACGGTTGGTGACAGCGGTGTCGGGCAGCATGAAGCACAGAGGTGGGTCCTAGGGACACAGGGGGCCACCAACATCAGCGCTGCTTGAAGATGGACCAAATGTCCCAGAGGGTGTGGGCAGGAAAGAAAGAAACAACAGGGGGACAGGGCCCCGGTGATGGTGTCAGACATTTGAGCTGTAACGATAGCCAACATGATGCAAGCAGTGAATGTCCGGATAACGCCGTTTACGTGCCCAAAGCGGGAGGTTCCATTCCACCCAGAGGCATCGTTCAGGAGCACGTGGGTGATCTACTTCCAAACAGCCAGCCCCTGAACGCTCCCTGGAGCATGCACCCACTGGCACACGAGTCGACTGCGGGGAAGCTGGTTTTGTCAGTTGGGGTGCAAGTGGTGGGTGGGGTGTTGACAGACGAGGAGGTCACCCACCTCAGGGCCCCTCCTTAAAGCAATGGGCCCTCAGTCAGTTCCCCTCCACTCTGGACTTTGTTGCTATCGTTAGATGCTCCCTCAAAATTTAAATGCCCTTTTTTGGGGTCTCTGATAATTAATGCGGGTGGGTGGTTGGAGACATTCTAAACCAAAAAGGTAAGGTTTCCTTTTTTTTTTTTAAGAAATGACTTCAACCAGACTGGGGGGTTTCCTGATAAAAGGTGTTAGGGGCACGGCTCCTAACAACACAGAGCTCAGACAGCACTGCTAGCTCAGAGGCGGAAGTGCTCGGCTGCTGAAAGGTTGGTGGTTCAAAGCCAGCAGCTGCTCTGCGGGAGGCAACGTGGCCATCTGTTTCCTTAAAGATGAGAGCCTTAGGACCTCCATGGGACAGTGCTACCCTGTCCTTCAGAGCCCCTAAGGGTTGGCATTGGCTGATGGCTGTGGGTTTGGGTAGCATGTAGCTCCCTTGTTCTGGTTCCAAGTTTCTCAATCTGCAGGGAAGGAGTTCCGTTCTTAGGCACTCCACCACAGAATGTGCTCGAGCCATTTGTGAGATAGTCGCTACTCCCTGATCCTGCGCCAAGGACAAGTGGGGACCCACAAAGAGTAGGGCGTGACCGACCCATGTCCTTCGGCTGGTTAGGGCTCCACTTACCAAAATCTGCTGGGTTGTGGTAGGTGGGACAGTTGAGGTCTAAATCCCTCAGATAGGGCACAAGGTTGGAGACTTTGCCCCGGTACACACACTGTCCTTGACTTAGGACGTACAGCTGCAATGGAAGGAAAGGCACAAAGTCAATCCTCCCATCCCTCCCCAAGCAACAGGCGCCACGCCCTGTCTCCATCTCTCTGTGTGTGTGTGTGGGGGGGGGCTCGTTCTACATTGGTCTTGGTCTCTATTTCCCTCTCTCTCCTTTAACCTATCCGCATCTTCCTCTCTCTTGCTTCGCTTCCTCTCCCTAGAGCTTTACCTGACCTCCAAGGTCCCGGTTCAAAGGGAAGGCAGGGAAGACTGCAGTTAGCATATGGCGGCGCTGGCTAACAGCCCTGGCGGCTCTGCAGTTCAGCTTGGTTGCTGGCTGAAAGGCCAGGAGCTCCGCCCCCAGCTGCTCCCCAGGAGGAAGACTTGGCGCCTGCTACCATAGAGACTGCAGCTGTCACCGCCCCCTAGAGTCTTCCAGTCTGTCCTGTGGGGTCTCAATCCGAACCGCTCGATGGCATAAGACTGCCACCATCTGCTTATGAAAAAGTTTGAAACTATATACCTTTCATCCTTTGGGATGTTTTTTCAGGGGTGGGGGTGGGGTAGGGTAGGTAATGGGACTCATAATAATCAAAACCTAAGGTTCATCAAATAGAGTCTATTACACAAATCATGCTATGTGTCACGAATGTGGCAGGATTTCTTCCAGTTTATCAGTGGTGGGAATAAAGTCTCTTTCATGCCAGTGGCTTGTTCCTCCTCCCATGGCTACTGGTCATGGCTGGGAGAGGACCCTGCCCAGTTCTTCCTCTTCCCCCAGACACCCTACCTGCTTAGGGTCCCTAAGTGCAATAAAACCCAACACCAAGATCACCCCAAAATGACAGCCCGTGAGAAATCAGCCAGGGCAGTGCCTACTCAGCATTTTGCATTTAGGTTAACTAGGGCGGGTGGGAAGGATACCAGTGACCATTAAGTTGGTGAAAATGGCTTTAACATGCTCTGCTGCTGTTGAGTCTACCCAGAAGTGCCTCAGAAGAAAGGTGTGGCGGTCTCCTTCACAAAAACATGAGCGGAGGAGTACACGTTTACTCTGACACACAGGAGGTCCCCATGAGTAGGAGCCAACTGGCTGGCACTGGTGTTCTCTGCTTTGCTTAGTTTTTCCCAGCAGTCTGGGGGTCAGGGGAGGGGGAGTACCATACCTGGTCAAACAGCTCGAAGAGCTTGGCACTGGGCTGGTGGATGGTACAGATGATGGAGCGCCCTCCCTGGGCCAGCCCTTTCATCAGGGAGACCACCTGGAAGCAGGAGGCACTGTCCAGGCCGCTGCAAGTCAAGGGCACTGTGAGATGCTGCCGTGGGTGGCAGGGCCGAGCCCATTGTCCCAAGAGCCCCCAATAGGGTTGCGGAGCAGAGACCAGGAACTGCCCTGGTCCCCTGCATCATCCCGCTCTGCTTCACCTGCTGGTGCATTCCCAGAGTTCCTAGCCGGGAGACAGAGCAGCCTGGCTGTCACAGGCCACTGAGGGCTCGAGCAGAGGGCTGCCTGTGCAGCTGCAGGCTGGGGCTTTCTCCATGGAAGTTCTACTGGACACAAACATCCATGGAGTGTGGCTCAAGGGGCTCACTTAGGGCTTTTGCTGGGGCCAAGGGGCCCTCTCATCTCTCCCCAGCACCTCCTGCCCCACTCCTGCTTTGTCCCCTCCATTCCCTGTGACCTCTGGTCCCCTCCATTTTGCATGACAGATGAGGTAACCGAGTGTGGGGCAGGCACCTGCCATACCAGCGGCACTCGGGTTCTGCCCAGAAGAGGCTATTTTATGGGCTCATTGCAGCCTCTTGTTCTCAAGTATCTTCGGAGGGCCGTCTTAGTCCCACCCACTGTGAGCTGGGCACGGGGTAGGCTTGCACACCAAAGTGAGAAAAACAGACAAGCCCCGTGTGCAGAAAGCCAAAGACACCCTCCAACTCCCCCCAAAATCTAGCTGGAATTGGGTAGGGGCAAGGTGGGCATAAACTGGGCAACACAGAGACAAGAGTCAGGCGCAGGTCTGGCTGAGTGTCTGCCCCCAGGGGGTCAGAGCCAGTCTCCTGCAGCAGTGTGCTGGTCTCCAATCTGGGGGTTGGGGAGACAGCCCTCTTTGGGAGACAGGCTGGGTTCAGGTGGGCACAGAGAACCCCGGTGAGCAAGGCAAGACCAGTGTCTTCCTTCTGGCTTCTTTGAACCACTGGTGTGCTGGGCAGCAAGGAGAGGGGCCATGTGCATCAAGACCTAGAGTCCCAGCATAAGTCCGACCCCAGAGGGAGCCCCTTCTCCAGGGTGCTGAAGGTCTGGCCCTCAGAGCAGCTGCGCTATGGGGACACTTTATCACAGGAGTGTGGCTCCCTCCGCCCACCCACCCCGCCAAGGGCTTGATGCTGTTGAGTTAGTTGGCTCTCGGTCCTAGGACCCCAGGACACGGCAGCAAAGGGGAGCAGCACAGTCCAGTGGGACTTGGGTTAGGAGTCCCCGAGAAACTGTTGAGTGTGGGGGACTCACAAGCGGGGCACAGAGCCCCCTCAGAGGCTCCCAGGGCGGGACTCACCTTGTGGGCTCATCGAAGAACATGACGGGCGGGTTGTTGACCAGTTCCAGTGCGATGGCCAGGCGCTTCCTCTGGCCACCCGAGAGGCTGCCCGTCCGAGTGTTGGCACAGGAGAGCAGGCCCAGTGCCGTCAGGATCTCCTTTACCTGAAGGGGCAATACAACCAGGGTTTCCATGAGGCCCCTCTGCCCAAAGACCCAGAGGGGAGAGACCACCCACCCTCCCCTAACTGGGGACAGCCCTCATCTTGTCCCGTGGATACGCAAGTTGGGCTCCACCATTTCCAAGGGGGACACACTCCATTCCCAAGTCTCAGTCACGACGTGGGCAGTGCTGCCCCGAGGCTGAGAAGGCAGTGTTGTTGTCAGCCCTGCCTGGGCTCGAGCCCTTGTCCAAACACGTTCTTTCAGATCTAAGCCCAAGACCCCATGCTGAGGTGGCTCATTGGACATCTGTTCCGATGGTGGTGAATTGTCATCCAGTGCATTCCGACTCCTGGAAGCTCCACCGGGTTTCCAATGTGATGACCTTTTGGAACGCAGACTGCCAAGCGCCTGGGTCTGGGTCAGAACTGACAACCTTTCTGCTGGTCTTCAAATCCTCAGCCATTTGCACCACCCAGGGATCCAAAGACCAGTGGGGTGGGGAAGGGCAGATTCATTAGCAGATGGGTGATCAGGTTCTGATCAGCATGAGGGGTGGGGGGGGTCCTGGCCGGGTCACGGGGTCACTTTGACCATTACATGGAAGAGGAATGCAAAGTGCCTGGCATAGGAGCTATCTTGCTACTGTCCCTGATAAGGCCAAGCACAGGCAGTGGTGGCTAGAGGAAGCATGCACATGTCCCATGTGGGAGACTTCAGTCTGATTCCTGGCCAGGGCACCCAGCTTGCATGCTGCCATCATGACCAGCTCTCGGGGCAGCTTTGGGCTGAGGGGCACTAAGAAGAAAGACCCGGTGATTCACTTCTGAAAATCAGCTCGGAAAGCCCAGTGGATCCCACGATGGTGGTACGGGGCTGTGTGGGTTTCCGGGACAACAGACCGAGGGCAGACGGCGCCTCATGGACACACACAGGTACACCAGGCCCTTCGGAGAGGGCTGGAAGGGAGCCGCTTGGTATCCCGGTCTCAGAGCGGCAGCCAGGCCTCGAAGCTGACTTGCACAGGTGTCTCATGAAAGCGGCCTCCACTTCCCAAGTGTCTTTGCTGGCTGTCTCCCCGTCCAGGGAAGCAGGCTGGACATGGAGGCAGACTGAAGCAGTGCCCTGTGGGCCAGCCCTCCCCATACGCTCCAATGATTGATCCAGGACCGGTGCTGGAACACAAAGGTCAGCAGACAGCCGGGCAGAGTCCACAGGCACCTCCTCCTAGCAGGCCCACAGGAAGGTGGGGCTGGGTCAGGAGGCCCCTCCCAGCCTCCACATTGAGCTCTACTCCCAGGGGCAGCTCACTTTGGGGCTTGGGCCACAATGCGTGCAGCCCTATCCCTGTTCTTGGCACGGCAGCCCTGGGCCGCCGGCCCCGAGTGGCCACAGCGGGCAGGCAGACCCCTGTCCAGCAGCCTCTCTAGGGAGATGAGGTAATCCAGAAGAGGAAGAGCTTACAGGGAAGAAAATTTCCACTGGGCCTTTGAATTGCGGGTGCACAGACAGGAAAACACACAGCGCTGGGGCAGAAGGAAGGAAGCCGGAGCCCTGGGGCCTCGAAGCAGATGGCAGAGCAGGTGCCTGGGGTTGGAAGGAGCTGGGTTTGAATCCTGCAGCCACCTCCCTCTTGATGCTCCCCTTCACCCAACTTCACAACGTCCTTCTAGAATGTATCGCCTCCAAATGACAGTGACCTGCACAGAACTTCATTGATGCCCTGCTGGAAAAGGCATCTCAAGGTCAAGGTAGAGTAAGGACAGATCTCCTCTTTCACTGTCCACCTTCTCTCTCTGGTGCTGCCCGCTGATGCTGGTTTCCCAGAGGGGGACTCTGCTGGTCCTCGCCAACACCGGCCAAAGTCGCAGGACGCCAGGCTTCCAATGGCACGCCTCTCCTTCCCATCCTCCTTTGGTCTCCGCAGAGGCACCTGGTTCAAGTCCCAACACTAAATGCCTTGGCGTGGAGCTCCTGGCAGCACACACAATTAACATGGCTGGCCGCCCACTGGAAGCTGGGGTTCTAGTTCATCGGGGGTGCCATGAAAGAACTGACTGGTAATCTACTTCTGGAAATTGGCCCACGGAAAGCCCTGTGGGTGAGAGTGCACTGACCCATTGTGCTGAGTTGGCGGCTGATGAGGCGGTAGGGGGAAAGCAACAGTGACAAGGCAGTAGTCGTCCCAGGTGGTACAAGTCATTAAGGAGAGCCCCGCTCTTAACTGAAAGGTCATAGTCAATCCACGTGTACCTTGAGAGACAGACTTGGCGATTCTCTTCCAGAAACTCTACGGCTCACAGTTCTACCTGGATGTCCACTGGGGGGTCGTCTTGAGTTAGGGCTGGTGCCATGGTGACCGGTTTGGCCTTTGGGGTTTGGCTCCATGCTTTCTTCTTAATCAGCCTCTCAGGGGGACTGAGGAGGGTCTGATGGCCCCACCCCACTCCCTCAGCCCTTGACAGAGGGTGTTGAAGAGGGGACTGCACATGGGGCAACTTCCCTCTCCCCCACCGCGCCTTGCTCTTTCCCCCAGCATTCTCTCCGAGGGTGATGGTCGGATCCCCTTCTGGGCAGCAGCCCACGAAGCCCCTGGGGCCATCACTGGGATGGCGCGTGGCGGGGAGTGTCCCTCCCATTGTGCACAGGGTCGCCAGGGTGGCTACCAAGAATGGTTTTGCTTTCAAGCTAATCAGAAAGTTCTAGCAATGGGCTTGTTTATTTTTATATTTCCCCTAAACTCTGCACTCCCCAGCTTTTGCAATTGGGGTCTGCTTGGGCCCCCTCGCATGACCTTTTCCCTGGGAGACTCAGGATGGCCCTCCTGGGTCCTGAGGAAGCCACCTTCAGCCTGTTCAGGAGGCTGCTGTTGCAGGAAACAGGGAGGATGCAGACAATGCATTCCACCACCTCTCAGAACATTCCATTCCCTCATGCTTCCACAGGATGTGGACAACTTTGGACCTGGGGAATGCATAAGGGAAATGAACCGGGGCATGTTTTATCCTGGAAACAGCTCTGCTGAGGGATTCTCAGAGAGGCAGAGACCCACAATCTTGCTGAAAGACAAGGGCCCCAATGGGCCCTGGGACTGGAGGCTATTGGTGCAGGGCTATCCAGCACTGGGAAATCCTGCAGGGACAGGTTGCTGTGCTGTTCAATCTGGAGAAGATGAACCCAGAGGGGGTGCCAGTCGCGCATCCTCTCAGAGATGGCTTCACCATGGAGCAGTGCTGAGGACCCTTATCTAGTCCGGGTTTGGGCTCTTACAGACCCCACTGAGAACGGCTCAGGTGCTTCTTTTAGCCCCATCTTTTGCTCAGGCAGCACAGCACTGCTGCCTCTCGTGGCCCACTGCCAGGTCCCTCCCCAGTCTCGCCAGACCAGGGCAGGACTCTGAAGCCAGAGCAAACCTGATGCCGCAGGAGGTCCAAAGAGCCTGGCGACTGCGCACCTCCGCACAGAACACCTTCCTGCCTACCTGCCTGCAGAGGAGGGCTCCCGGCTGCACCCAGCCCTTTCACAACAGTGGCTTTGTCCCTGTGTGGGCTTGCGTGTTGCAGGTGAGGCTGGAAGTTGTGCCCCCGGTATCAAATACCAGCAGGGTTACGGTCACAGGATGGGCAGGTTTCAGCAGATCTTCCAGGCTACGAAAGACCAGGAAGAAAGGCCTGGTGGGCTGCTTTCGACGATTTCAAACCGGTGCTGTCGGCAGTGGCGATGCAAATGGTGCAGGGCTTGGTGATGGCAAACAGGAAGTTTGGCGGCCAGAACTCTCCTAGAGGTGTCGCAGAAGGCAGAGCCCTGCTGATCTGCTTCCAACAGGCCCCCGCCTTGTAAGTTCGAGTCCACTCAGAGGCCCTCAGAAGAAAGGCCCGGCCAGCTACCTCCCTAAAGAATCAGGCTTTCAACGCCTGACAAGCTCGATTGGATTCTGATACGTGTGGGTCCGCTGTGAGCTAGAGGCAGCTCCACAGGGCCTGGTTCCCTACGTAGGGAAGGGACTGCCTTTGAAAAGGCAGTGGAGGGAGTTAAAAAATCCCAGTCATCATGGAAAAGTGTTTATTTTTTTTTTAAAAAAAAGACTGGTTAATAACAAGTACGATGCAGCTTTCTCCTTGTAAATGAGCGCGTGCGGGGTGGGTGGGTGGAGGGTGGCTATTTTAAACCCAGTGACTAAGCACCATCGTCGTGGTTAGTGTTTCATCAACAGTTTAATCTCAAGTGTGGCACGCTGCGCAGAAAGAAGCCCAGCACGGGGGCAAGGCCTGGGGTCGGCTCTGCGGGCCACCTACGTGTTCCGACCACTGCCCTGTCTCCCCTGGCCACTCTGGAGCCCGGCTCCTCGCTCTGCTCTGAGAGTCTCTGAGCTGGGACTCTCTCGGGTGCCAGCTCCCCTGGGCCCACCTGCTCGGCCACTGCCGCCCGCCTGGGTGGAGATGTCGACACCTCCCCTGCCACCTCCCCTGCACGGAAAGCTGCGATGGGTGGAGCAGAAGCACACCAACCAACAGAACCCAGAACCCGCTGAGGAAGCCCAAGCCCTCTCTGGAGTCTGGTGCAAATGGCCCACCATGCCACTGACTGCGGCAGGCAGCTCAGCTCCACCCAGAGGGGCTCTTGGAAGAAGAGTTCGGGGGTCCATCTCCAAATGATTACAGCCTGGAACCCCGCACACCCACACACCCTGCGGAGCGCAGTTCTGTGCTGATGCATGCTGAGAGTCAGCAGCGACCAGAGAGCAGATGATTGTGTGCTTGTTGGGGGGTTGGATGGTTCCATGGTAAAATTCTCCCCTTTCACGTTGCAGACCCAGAACTAATTCTGGGTCCAGGCAAGCACCTCATGGGCGGCCAGCACTCACTCACCCCCTGCGCCCCACCACCCCCCCCCCGCCAGGGAAGGGTTTTATATGGCAAGGAGGCTGCACAGCTTTATACTCGAGACCAGGAAGAATGGCCTGGCAATCTAGATCTGAAAATCAGCCCCTGAGAAGACCCTCCGGGTCACGATGGTGCGCTCCGTGACCAATCGTGAGGACGGTGCAGGATGGAGCAGCTGGTTCCCTTCCAGGTGACGTCACAGCAGCTAGAACCACTCATGACCACGCGGACCCCAAAGCCTCACACTCACCATCTCTCGTCTGCCTTCGTCCTTCTCCTGGAGCTTCAAATGGGCAGAAACCTGTGGGGGACAAGGACAGGGGTGTGGAAGGAGAAGGGATGGCTCCCAGCGAGGCCACCGTAGCTAGGGATGAAGGTCCCTGAGAGGCTTCACATGGCCATACCCTGAGCCCTGGACCCGAGAGACTTTCTGCATTACCAGGACAACAGAGAAAAGCCTGGGGGGACTCTTGGCTGCCTGCTTCCCTGGGTGCAATAAAGCACAGCCTTAGGTGAGCACAGGAGGCCTGCAGTCTCAGGAGAGCTCTAGCTGATGCCAGCGCGGTACACTGAAGGTGGGCAGCTCTAGCCCCGGGGCCTTGACGACCTGCCACAAGCCAGCTGCTAGGTCACTGGTAGCAGACACCGTCCACAGGGGAATAGTTAAACTGCAGGAACTGGCCAATGCTACACTACAAGGGCACTTTCTTCTTTATCAAGGTCAAGGCTCCACCGGGCCCCTGGCCTGGCATAGATGACCCTGGAATCGGTTCCCTGTGCCTTGGCTTTACTCCACCAGCATTGGGGCCTGGGGCGAGGAAAGAGCCTCCGTTTCTTCCATGCCATGAGGAGGTTACAACGTGTCCTGCTCACACTACTGAAGTGGCTGCAAACACCCATCGAGTGGCCTCGAGAAGCCAAGGGGAGCCACAGAGTGGTCAGGGCGCTGGGCTCAGACAGGGCCACGCCTACGCCAGCTGGGCTGGGGACATCCACCTGCTACGTGGCAACAGGCATCACACCCCTGTGCACCCTGGGTTGACAGAGACCACCAGGGACACAAAAACCTTCCCCCTGGGGTCTGACGGGCAATGGGCCTTCAGACGGAGGCAGCTGCCCGGTTCCTCTGAGGGGTGACAGTGCCCCATGAGGTCAAGGGCATCCTAGCCTCTTGCTAAGTCTTACTTGGGAGTATCAGCAAATGCTCTGAATCGGGAGGCCATTCCGCTTCATGTTGGAGACACACGCACGTCACCTAGCAGAGGCTGGCGACAAGGTAAGGGGGCGGGAGGGGATGAAAACAGAAGCCCCCCAGCCTGTCTGCCAGGGAAAGCAGTGAGTGAGTGGCAGTCAACGTCACGCTTCCCAACAAGGAGCCATGTGCTTTACTCGCCGCCAGCTCGCAGGGAAGCCGACTTTGGGGCGCCCCAGAGGAAGCAGCTGCTCAAGAACCAAGCAGGGACGTGTCAAGTTTGTACTGACTGGACTGGATACCCAGGTCAGGGGGCGTGGGGGCAAAGAGCAACTCCCCACGTGGCGGCTCCACCCAGACTACCTGCACACTTTCCCCCAAGCCGCCCCCTCCCTGTCCCCAGGGCAACAGCGCCCACCTGGCAGCTGGATCAACAGTCCATCTGTGCAGCACACATGCCCACCTGGGGAGGCCGAGCCTTGTGGGCAGGTATCGTCTTACTTGTGCTCGAGAAAGATGAATGGGCTCAACCCTACAGGGACTTCCCTCCCTGCTCCCCGACAAAGCAGCTTAGGGAGAGCGGATCGCATATCTGAAAAAACAAACCTCCTTCCCTGAGTGGAGCTCAAAACCCCTTGAATCGCCCTGCAGCTGAAACACTGTGCGGCTGCCACGCACTGGCACTTCCAGGTGGGCGCTCGGCCGAAACCAAAGCCAGGCGCTCAGTCAGCCAAACCAGGCCCACGTGAACCTCCCAACCAAGGACGGGGCACACCAGGCTGAGCACGCCTGCAGGCAAAGCAGAAAATCCAACACCACCCCCACTACCTGTGCCCAAACAGGCATGATAAGCATCTAGACAGCCACCTTAGACCCTTCATGGGGCTGGGGCAGCTTCTGGAGACTTCCACAGCCCACAACTCTGTCGGTGTGACCCAGGTCAGTGTGCATTGGACCTTTTAACAACACACATGGCCCTGGAAACCCAGGGCCACACTTGTGGGTCACAATCTGTTCCAAGGATATAGCCAGGCGGTTCCAGAAATGCCTTCTAAAGGGGCCACTTCTGGGACCTCCAAAGGTGGAGCCATTTCCAACCTCTGAGGAACGTCCAGAGGACTTGCGTGAGGACACTACAGGGAAGCTTCTGAAGATAAAAGGAAGGCAGACCGAGCTGTGGCAGCGACAGGGACTGACCGAGCGCCGGCGAGGTGCCGGCCTCTGTGTCTGAGCTGACTGCTTTATCCCACTCATTCAAGATCAGCGTCAACCCCGCGTGGTCTTGCCGAGGGGGAGGCCAAGGATGTGAGTGGGAAAGCAATTGCCTGGAAAGGAAGCCAAGCCGAGCCGTGACGGCAACACTTTGAAGTCAGAGAGACCTGCCTCTGAGTCCCAGGGTGGCCACCAGCAGCTGCACGACTTCCAGCGAATGGCCTGTTCTCTGGAGCTCCGTGTCTCCTCTGCTTCCAGCAGGAACACTCGCTCTTGGCCGAGTGCGTGTGATGGCCACACGGAGTTCTGTGCAGTCAAGGCCTGGGCCTAGCAGGGTTTGACACACTCAGTGTGCATTCTCCCACACGGCAGATGGGCCGCTCAGAGAACAAGACCCTTGGAGCCCTGACCACGGCACCAGGTTCTCCGGAGCATGGCTCCAGAATCCCAGAAGACCCTGAGGATGGCAAGTTTGCCATCCAAGGACTGTCGGGAAGTACGGCCACAGAGTTTGTTCTCAATGAAGCTGCCTAAAGAGCGCACCTCTTTGGAGAGCAGAGCTGTGCTGGGAGGCGGGGCTGCTGGCCACATGCAAGCGGCCTGGCAGAGCTAGCTGTCAGCTCTGTGAGAAGTGAGCGGCCAGGTGGCTGGTGGGAGCACTCACCATCATAGCCTCTTGGACGGTGAGGTGCGGCAGCAGCATGTCATCCTGCATGATGTAGCAGGACACCTTCCGGAAACAGCGCAGGTCCCGAGGCATGCCATTGATGAGGACCGCCCCTTTCATGCCAGTCTCCCTGCAGGGCAACAGGAGGCGGGTCAGCACCCAGCGGCCAACTTCTCCTGCTTCTCCTTCCTCCCAGCATCTTCGCAGCTCAATCACCTGCCCTCGAGGCACTGAGGGGCCAGAGGGGATGGAGACCTGGGCAGAGAACCCCTGTCATCCAGAGGAAGAAAGCACACAGAGAAAATGCCCAGCAGGGGAAAGGGAAGCCGAGTGCCTGGCCTCCCCTGGGAGGGTCTGTTTATAGCAAGTGGTGGTGGCTGTGCCATCTGTGGCTACTAAACAAACAACGGAGATCATCCGTGGCTGTTCCCACACACACAGCCTTGAATGGGCGCTACCCCCCTGGCTCTCAAGGGCCTCTGAGATTGGCATATGGTCAGTGGTACCGACAACGGGAGACTTGGAGGTCAGGATGTAGGAGCCGATTTCTGAGGCACCCCCACACCCTGAGTGAGCAGCAGCAGCCAGCTTGGCCCTCGGGCTCAGGTGGCCCAGGGAGGAGTGGGCCTGGGCCCGGGCCCTGGTCCTGCTCAGCCAGCAGTGGTCCTCACCACCAGGGGAAGCTATTCTCTCTGATCACCAGGAACATGTAAAAGCATCCCACATGACATGGGAAGATGGAAGGGGTGTGGCCTCACTGACCTTAGCCTAGCGACCATGACCTGACTCAAACAGGTGTTTGCTTGGTTTGGGGGTTTTTTGTTTGGCGTGTGTTGCTATTTGTTTTGTTTTCTAGAAAGGGACCTTGATGGTTACTCATTGGGACTTCTATACGCAAGGTCAGCAGTTCGAAACCACCAGCAGCTCTGCAGGAGAAAGACACTGGTTTCTACTCCCATAGAGAGTTACATGCAGTCTTGAAAACTCACGGGCAGTTCCACCCAGTCCTGTAGGGTCACTAAGAGTCGGCACTGACGATGGCAGTACGTTTGGTTTGGGAGTTTTAAAGGGTCTGTTTTTCAGCATTCACAACGGATCACACTAGGCAGGACATTGGATGGTGTGGTTTCCATAATACTAAACAACTAACATCGTCACAGAGCAGGAGCTAAGGAAATCTGGGCCTCCACCAAGTGGGTCTCCTTAGTCTCTTCCGAAAATGCTCGTCAGCCTCCTTTCAGATTCACTTGCTTACAATCTCCTCTTCCCACCTTCTTCCTGTGCCTTCAGACCTCACCAAAGGTGAGCTCCTTCAGGATGCCATCGCTGTGCGTCCTGCCCCAGGGGGTCAGAGGGTGGGGCTGACCTCTCCCCTTAGCCCGTATCCTTCTCCACCCATCCCGCACCACGCGCCAGACTGTGCCAACAACCATAGAGAAGGCCCAGGGCCAGGCAGCACTCTGGTACAACACACAGTGGCTGTGAGTCAGCGCTCACTCACCAGCAGCCATCGGCAACCACCGCGCCACACGCTCAATGCTGTTTTCTTCCCCGGGCCCTTTCCATTGCAGATGCCACAGCGCCCAGAAGCTCACCTCGGACAGGATGGTAAGAAGCCCCCGACTCGAGATGACCGAGTACAGCAGCGTCACTGCCCTCCACCCGCCAGCCAGGCCGGCACATCTGGGTGAGAGCCTTGCCCCCTCTCTAGCCGGCCAGCATGCCTACCTGTATCCAGCCAGAATGTTCATCAGCGTGGACTTCCCAGCCCCGGAGGGACCCATGATCGCCACCAGTTCACCACTGTTGAATTTTCCGGAAATTCCCTTCAGAAGGGTCTTGTACCCTACAAAAAAAGCAGATGGAGTTCAATTTTGTCACCATCGCCGGGCGTGTTTTGGCTAACACAAGTCCATTTGCCTGCCCAATGGTGGTCAAAGGCAGCCTTCCCTATGCCCCATTGTCAAATGCTAAGTTCTAGGCAAGAAAATTGACCTTGTGTGCCTTATCTGCTTCCTTAAATGCAGTTCACGATGTTACAGACCAATTCTACTCCTCACTATCAACAAGGATGGGTCCTGAAAAAATGATGCCCGGAGAAACGTCAGCCACCAGATGTTCCTCAGGCTCCAGGCGCAGCAGGCCCATGGGGCTCCTCCTGGCCCTGCTGGGGCAGTGGGAAGAACACTGTCACATCTGGGCCATTTCAAGCTGACTCAGGATTAGCCGGCAGGAAGGGACCAACTACACCATGACCCATGTAGAGGTCTCTCTCCACAGAAGCGTTCACAGACTGCCTGCTGGTCCCAGGGCCCCCACCGTGCAAACAGCAGATCTCAAAATGTTCAGGGTGGTGACTGCCCCGAATTCTGTCAGGCGCCTGGGCAGCCTCACCACGGCTTGCGGGCCTGGCCAGGATTCAGCAAGGCCAGCAGGGGAGTGCAGGTTAATGACCCCAGTTCCCAGCGGCCTCATTTCTTCTCTCTCTCTCTCTCTCTCTCTCTCTCTCGCTCGCTCACTCGCTCGCTCTCAACACCATTCCCATCCAAAGACGGGGGAGAGGGTTGGAGTGGGAGGGATCAAGGACTTGGGATTCAGGAGGATGAAACTCTCACTCAAAAACAAACGGATCTTCACCTGGCTTTCAGGTGAGGAAAGTGTGCATGTATATATATTTTAGCATGCTGTGAACGTGCAACGTCGGAGGGCGAGACCGTCGCTAAGCAAGGAGTAAGTACAATTACCCGTCCACCTATAACACACAGAATGCTTCAGAGTTTGCAGAACACATTTACATACATTAATGAACGCGCAAGGAATCCTCCATGCCGATGTACATTGAGGGAATGGCTAGCCCCCAGTTTGTCACACTGTGGTGGCCTGCATGCTGCCACCAATATTTCAACTGCCAGCAGAATCACTGGTGTTGGGCAGGTTTTAGCAGAGCTTCCAGACTAGAAAGAGAGGTCTGGCTATCTACTTCCAAACACCAGCCAACAACCCCCTGTGGACCACAGCAGGACAGTGTCTCAGTTTGGGGAGATGAGCCCCTGGGGATGAGGCACTCACAACACACCGTGGCCACATGGCACTGAAACATGCCAGCCTCTGCAGAGACTGCGCAGGACCAGGCGGGGTTGGGTTCTGTGGTGTGTAAGATTGGCACAAGTCAGCGCCAACTCCATGGCCACTGACAACAACAATGACATGCAGAGAGGTTGTGTGGCACCGACAGGCCCTGTGGCCAGGGTGTGTGGCTCCGAAGCCCACACGCCATCACTTCCCAGCTCACGGCTGCACCTACACGGTAAGCACACGCGTTAGAAAGGTGTTCCCACGAGAGTCTGTCGTTTGAAGCCCCACCAAACTGCTTTGGGATTTCTGCCAAGTCTCCACTTCAGTGCACAGTCAAGGAGAAAAGGGACACGGTCCAAGAAAACCCTGTTCTTTTTCTAAAGGAAACAGTTGACAGATGCACCCAAGGATGAAACAGAAACACCTGGGTTCATAGAGCAGTCCCTGAACAGCGACCGTGGTTAACATACTCGGTTGCTACCTGAAAGGTTGGAGGTTTGAGTTTACCCAAAGGCACTGCAGGAGAAATGCCTGGCCATCCACTTACCAAAGCTCAGCCACTAAAACCCTGTGGGTCTCGATGCTAGTCTGACACAGGGGGTCGCCCTGAGTCAGAGACCACTTGATGGTAACTGGTTTGATTCCAATTCTTAATTCAGAAACATCTTTCAGTACAGTATCAGACCAAAAGGGCCCCTGGGTGATTAAGAATCAAGTGCATACAATATTTAAGCTCCCAGACATAATGTCTAAAGGGACCTGATGGGACAAAGGGCATTGGGATGCTTTATAAATGCTCTTAGATTTCTCCCCCATTGATGCTTGACCATTCCCTGAATTCCCAAGCCTGTGTGTGAGTGTGTGTGTATGTGTGTGTGTGTGTGTGTGTGCATGTGCGCATGGACGCACACGTGCAGGATGCTGGCCCCGGGTCTGGGAAGCTCTCTGCCTGTCATCCTCTCGCCTCCCACAGATGGGACACCTGGACATTCCAAGCTGTCAGCAGATGCCTCCTTAATTTGGACCGGGAGTCTCTGAGGCCTTGTTTAACTGTGACCGAGAGAAACGGAAGCAAATGGCAGGAAGCCGGAGTCTCTGTGATTCTGACTCATTAAGGAGAGAGACTGTCACCCAAGGGAGGGTGGGGAGGGCTGTCCCTCTGGGCAGAGGGGCCACGGAGAAGCAGCAGCTCAGTGAAGACAAGGGGACCAGATTCCTGGGCTCGGGACGTGATGCAGGCTGAGGTCAGCAAACTGAACACTCATGAGCCAGGGACGACCAGGGTAGAGGAGTGGGCTGGAAGCCCCCACGTCCTGCATCCCTCAGCAGACAGATGAACAGAAGAGCCCGGGGCAGCCATGACCACTCCTCCGCCCAGCCATGCTCTCCACAGCCAGGCAAGGATCCGTGGGGACCACCTGTGCTGGGGACTCCGGCCCCCAGAGAACCGCTGTGACATCACCAGGGGAGAGTTGCTTTCCGGGCTCTGCTCATTACAGGCCTCCTGCTGACTCCGGGTTACTCCCGAGCAAACTCGTCGGTGAGCCCTTCTCTCTGGAAGTTCAGACATGACCCGGCGCTAACCTCTGTCAGTCAGAGTTGCCGGAAGACACGGAGAATGCCGGGGTGACCTCTGTAGCCCTTTGGACCCCAAGCACAGATGCTACACCAGAGTCATAAAACCCCCAGGGACAATCTCCTAACATCTCCTTGGAGTTCTGGAAGGTTCTTTCCCTGGGACTCCCAGGTTCCCCTCAGACATGGTCACACTACAGGCAGGGCTCCCCACTTAGACAGAACCCTGTGTAAGCCCTCAGATGCCGGGGTCCATGTGGCATGAGAGAGGCAGATCAGGCTGGACAATGGTCACGGGGCTGGGACTCCAGGCACCAGGTGCAGGACTTGGAGTGGGTGGGAGCTGTGGGGAGCAGAATGGAGGATGTGGTCTTGCTGTATGGAATTTTGAGGTCCATATGTGAACCCCAGTCCTCAAGTGAGGCCCTAGCGAGCAGGTACTTGGCCTGGTAAGGTGGATGCCTTGTGGGAGAGAGAGGCGAGTGGTCCCAGGAAGATGGGGAGTGTGGGTGAGGTGCTGTGGGCCATAGGCAGGGTCAAACAATGGAGACTCTGCTTGGGGCTGGAGTCTCTCATGTTAGGAACCCACTTGTCTTTTAAAATGCTACACACATATCAGGGACTGAAAACCATTAGAAGGGTCTCAGGACACAGAAGTCAAGGGGGCCGGGAGCCATGGACTCCTGGGATCCGTGGACTCCTGGAGAGCAGAGTCAGCCACAGGAAGGGTGTATGCAGTAGGCATTCTGCAGCCCCAGGTGTGAGGCGAGGGAAGGGAGACCACTCGGGACCCCTTCCTGTGACAGCCAGGTTCCGTGTGTCTCCACAAGCACACACTTGTCAACATTTATGGCATGGATGCATCCCTCCCTCTACAGAGCCCCACGTTGTGTGCCTCTTATAGAAAAGCAACCGAGATGCTCCCTGCCCTACCTTCCCACCAACGGGGCTGCTCAGCCTAGCTCCCGGCACATGCCGCACACTGCCTGCCCTCACACACTTGTCCACACTCGTTTACATGCATGCAAGGTGCTCCACTTTCTGTGGTTGGGACAGTGAGCTCCCAGGTAACAAGAAGCTTGGGACCATCTGATTGTCAATGTTGCATCATTGTAACAGGCAAACCCAAACCCAGACCCCCACAGCCAACCCAAACCCAGACAGACCCCCACAGCCAGACTAAAGCCTAGAGATGCCAACCCAGTTTTATTAATCAGGAAGATCATAAAAGCTATAGCGTCAGTTAGGCAGGACGTGTTCCGTTTCACTCTCTGGGAAATGAAAAGAAGGAATTGAGGGGCTGCCAGAACCAGTGGACAATCCACAGACCAGGCTCCCGATACCAGCCCAGGGACTCTTCCCTTCCTAAGAGTGTGCTCACGACTGCCCAGCTTCTGAATGACCGTGCCTCCCATGCGTAGAACTGAGATGGTCTTGTGGGTGTCGTTGCTGTTAGGTGCCTCCGAGGTGCCTAGCAACCCCACGAAGGAAACGTGGCCTGGTTCTGAGCCAGGCGAACAATTGTTCTGTTTGAGCCCCTTGTTGCAGCCACTGTGCTCATTCGAGGGCCTTCCTCTGTCTCAGACCCTCTACTTCGCCAAGCATGACGTCCTTCTCTAGGGACTGGTCCCTCCTGGTAACAATGTCCAAAGGACATAAGATGAAATCTCACTAGCCTTGCTTCTAAGGAGCGTTCTGGCCTTACTTCTTCCAAGACAGATGTATGCGTTCTTCTGATAGTCCATGGTATACTTAATATTCTTCCCCAACACCAACACTCAAAGGCATCGTTTTTCTTCAGTCTCCCTTACTGGTGATCCAGCTCCTGCATGCATGAGGCCGTTGAAAATCCCCTGGCTTGGGCCAGGCGCATCTTATTCCTCACAGTGACGCCTTTGCTCTTCAACACTTCAAAGAGATCTTGTGTAACAGATTTCCCCATTGCAATGCGTTGTCTGGTGTCTTGGCAGCTGCTTCCACAAGGGTTGATTGCGGATCCAAGGAAAACGAAATCCTTAACAAATCCATCTCATCTTCATTTATCATAATGTGGTCTGTTGATCCAGTGGTGAGGATTTTTCTTTTCCTTATGTTGAAGTACAGTCTACCCTATAGGCTGTAGTCTTTGATCTTCCTCAGTAAGTACTTCAAACCCTGCTCAATTCCAGCATACATGGCTGTGCCATTTGCATATCG